GGGGGGGAGGAGAGGGGGTTGAAGATGCGCCATGCGTGCCGGCGGACAATAGTGGGCATATTGTGAAAATATTGATTACAATTCAGCAACAATGGAGAACAATGGGTGTGTACCGGGCGTTCGTACTTGAGTAAAAAATCTTCTCGAAGGCCACTTGGCTATTTTTCCGATGCCTCTGGCACAAGCCGGAGGTGCTCCAAGGAGAATATGACAATATGCATACCAAGTCACGTAGGACAAAGCGTTATCCACGTTTTCTTTTCTCCTCTTGCACCCTTGAATTGAGAAGGGGGTACGCTTTAACAGACAGACATATTGCTGAGTCGTCTGAGGGGACATTTGAATTTTCTCAATATTTGAATTGTGTTTGGATTCTAGTAAATTGTTTATTTCAATTTTTAACATTGAACAGACTAGATGAAAATAAAATAGAGGATTACGAAGTATTTTAGCCGTTTTTTTCAATTGAAATGCTTTTTTACCAATTTTCATATTTTTCAACATTTTGATCATTCATACATTTTTTAATAGTATATTTCGTTACGAGTGCGGAAAAGAGTTTTTCGCACTCGCCTTCGGCTCGTGCTATAAACCTCCCACGAGCCAAATAGTATATTGTGCCCCTAGGGAGTAAAAGTATTTTCTGACGAGTGTGATTATAACCAAAAACTTAAATTAAGATTTTTTTTTTAATTTAAATAAAAACTCCATTAATATTATCCAAATAAACTTATTTACCTGATTCATACTATAATTCATTTTTCCTGTGTACATTTGACATGATCTGAAATTCTTCAGCAAATATTTCTGGTACTTGAAAAAAGCGGTATAATTCATTTTTCTAAATCCCAAAAGCATATAATCGTGTTCAAACGATTCAGAATATTGACAGATGTTTCATTTTATTGTTTCTTCATCATCATGTTAGAAAAATGAGAAAATGAGAATAATAGTTCCATTTTTCTTCTTCAAAAAAAAATTCTTTGAACTCTCACAAACTGACATATGTCACGCGTGTACGTTACCAATAGCACGGTGTCGCGTGTCAAAGATAACGCGACACATGCGTTCAACCCTCTTCCTCCCCCTCTCCAAAAACCGCCCGCAATTAGCCGTCCTAAACACCGCCACACTTTGTGTAATTGTTTCAACTCAGACCTCCGTCGAAGTTTTTTCAGAAAAAAAAATCCTACGGTAAAAAATTTAGTTGTATGACATTTCCTAATGACGCAGGCATCTGGTGCTTGAGCATTTAATCGTGAGGATCTGGCAGAATGAGTGATCCCCTTGTTAGCGATTAGAGAAACGATACGGAGGGTTAAACGACACGGGCAGGTGAGAAGGAAAAGCATTTTGATTATTTTTTCGGTGGAATTGTCTCGAGGTACGTACTGACGGACATCTAGAAAAATGTTTTATTTGAAGTATGAAAACTGTACATGTAGATCAAATGAGTACATTTATTCCAATAGCTCGCAAAAGAGTTTCATAGAGAAAAAAATTCTTCAATTTCACGGAAGTATCCGTAATTTTCAAGAATTAATTCTTCATTTTTACAAAGCAATCCCCAATTTTTCGGGACCTCCACACATTTAACAGTAACTCTACAATTTAACAGTAATTATAATTTATGAACATGCATATTTATAAATTATAATTACTGGTAAATGTTGTAGCCGTCAATTAGTTCATCACTCTTAAACTTTCAATTAGTCAAGTAATCATCAATTTAAACATTCAAATTTTGAACTGTATTATTAATCAATAATTTAGTTAGGAAGATTGCCGATTATCTGGCTAGTTGATAATCCCTTTTAAGAAATTAGAAACATTCACTTAATTGAAAATTTACAGTTCAATATTATCAAATATTTAGAGAAAGGAGAATTCCATAAAAATTACCAGAAAAAAATGTAAAAATTACGTTTCGAAACGTAATCCGTGAGCGAAGAAAAGTTCAATAAAAAGTGTGAGTCGGAACTAAAATTGTACGAATCGTAAATTCTACGATTTGTGTTAATTTGTGCGATTTGTGTTGTAATTTAATAATGATAATAATAATAATAATAATAATAAATTGTCATTTCTCCGGTTGCATATAGCATCATGTTCAACGGTGGTATAATCTCAGAGTTGAGAAAATACTCGAGATGAGCACGTGGTTGGCACTGGTATGTACAATGTCGTCACGTTTTCACTTGGTTTTACGATCATACCGATGTGTCAGCAAAAGCGAACATTCAGTCGAGTGTCTTTCACACTGCGGTCTTATTGCCGGTCACGAAGCAAACTCGTCCCCTATCATTGTGATCTTTTTCGAGAGTTGAAAATATTTAAATTGTGCGAATGCCTGCATTCACATTTATATTCCAATTCAAACATTGTAGAGAACAAAAATGGCAAGCTTTTGTTCTTTTGTCCATTGATTTGAAATTGAAAATGCAATAAAAAATACAATGAATAACAGAAATAGTTCACTGAAGCGATTACTAAGTTTTCAACGAACATATTTAGCCGACCGGCACCAATATCCAGTACAAGTGTGACCTAAAGAAAAGTTTAAAGAAGGGAAACTCGAAACCAGCAATTTTCTATTTAAAATAATAATAACGAATGTCTATGGAATGCTTATTTCAGTGTTATCATAACCAACTAACCTTTAAGGTACGTTATGCAAGTAATAGCTTCTTCTGCATGCTAAAAATGTCAAAACGTATTTTCTTTTCTAGTCAACTCTATTACAATTTCACATTCGCGGGGAAATTCTATTGTTTAAAATTTTTTTTTTTTTACAAATTCTGCAGCTTTTCCGCGCGTTTGTTTCATAGACATCTTCAATAAAAAATATTTTATAGGAGACATCAGTAGTCCCGATGTTTCTATGCAACTGATTGTATAGAGATATGTTCTATAAAAATTTCCTCGAGGAATTTTTATAACTTTGGTTCCTCTTGTCATCTATAATAAAAAGAAATATAAAAAGAATAAAAAAGAATATTTCTCATTGTCCAATGAACTTGTTGGATATTCAGTTCGAAATGTTGCGCAAACATTGGCATCAATTATCCGATATCCATGCTCCTGATTAATGTGAATTCTATTAGAATGGAAAATTGTATTATATTGGCAATGAGAACCATCTACGGTTGGATCGATCTATCGTAATGACATGCGCGCCGAGCGCACGTTCGATCTCGTTAAAAAAAATCAATAAAATTTTCTATTATTGTATTGAAAAATCAATATAATATTTTCTGTTGAATATTTTTGTGCTGCGGAATTTTTCAATAAAATCGGCGAAACCTGTGAAAGGCTCCCGCTCCTTTTACAAATTGCCATACGTTACCAATCTTCAATAGTTTCTACCGCAAAAATAACAAAGAAAAAATCAAAATCAAAATTACATAAAAAATGTAAAATAATATGAATAAACAATACAAGCAGTACAGTTAGAAAATAGCCTCAGCTCTTCTTCGCTTCAATTTCATGATATTCGGATATTTCTATACGAATATTTTTTATACAAATTACTTCCATTCGATTTCTATAGGTTTGATCCTATACGACCCACTGCCACATGTATAAAAAACATTTCGTATAGAGTTGCAACATTTCTCTACGTTTTTCTCTAGAGCGTTTAGACATCTTTCGTATAAAAACAAAAATTTATGTAAAAATTAATGTATAGAAATAATTTGTATAGAAAATATTCGTATAGAAATATCCGAACATCATATACGGAAATCCTATAGAATTCCTATACGCAATGCGTATAGAAAATTTCTATACGGTTTTTTCATACGTGTCAGGTTCCCATAAACATTAAAAGCCAACCCCTCAACTTCAAAATCTCCTAATAATTGTTTTTTTCCTTCTCGGTTTAGATTTTTCCATGGGAACAAAATCATGAAGGGAATTCGCGTCTTATAGTCCTTGATCACGATGCTGAAGCATTTGCAGGAGCATTTCATTATTATAAATCAATGAGCCACCAACGACAACGGCCAACCTACTCTCCGCCCAGTAGAAAACAAAACGCCTCCGTACTGCGAAAAATGCTTCTCAATCGAATTGAAATGAGACCCCAAGTGTGTACCGTGTGCGTAATCACGAGTCACTTGGCAGCTCACTCGTCTCTGTACTGTAATCGATTGCTCGTCGACCCCAGCACTTTTTTGTTTATGGTCACTCTTCAGTTGCGCTGAGCGTTTGTACAATGAATTTTTATTCATCCCTGGCAAATATTATATCGATATCGAAACCACTCTGGTCCATTGTTTTCCGCGTCAGAGGGGCCTCTCGACGCCAGATTTCTCGGGGATTTCTCTCTCTTGCATTTTCCAGGCGATGGGACACTCTTTGTCCTTGTGCGCTGACCCTGCAACGAGCTCAGGCGATTTTTTTTGAGGATTTTTGTGGCTGAGATCGCACGTTTGGGTAAACTGGAGCTCTTCGATTACATTTGAACTCCTTCATTTTTATTTATTTCGTTTTATTTTTCAATCTGTTATTCATTTATTGGTAAATTTGTTTGATTAAAGGTGGGGTCTTTAATGCCTTTAATTTAATATAATGAACTATGCTCCAGACATTTTTGATAAACAATAAATTTTATGGAGTTGTTATCGTTGACGATGACGTTTTATTGGAACAATAAATTCAATCATTCTATTAAATATTTCAAATCATTTTGGTCTCGGAGGATGAAGTGCAACTGAAGTTTGTATTCGCTGAATACTGATCAACCGATGAACTGAGAATATGGAAATCAATTTGGGGAGAAAATAAAAGCCAGGAATACTACATTTCGATCGCATTTAACATGTTTCATTTGGATTCCATTCATTTTCAGTCGATCTTCAGTTTTTTATTGATAAATTTTATTCAATAACAGATAGAACATGTTTTCGAGTAATAATCGCTGTATTTCTGACTTTTTCTGTCGTGAGAGTTCAAACTTCACTGAAAAAAGCTATTTCTCGCTGAGTTTATCTTATCGAATGTGAGATTGGAAGAATAATTTTTGCATGCATACTCCGGGGAATCCAACGTTCGGATGACAGGAATCAGTCACGCGAGACTTGTCAATGCGACGAGATTTATCTTTTTATATTTTTACATTCATCCTCCCGGAGTCTGGTATTGAGGGGAAGATGTCTTTAACATGGGGGCCATTGATCTTTGGATAAAAGAAATTCTCACTGTTTATGGATCTACTCTTTTAATAACCCTGGTGATTGTTTCTATCGTCAATTGGCAGTGGGCGAGATTTGTCAAGAATATCTATCGATTGCACCTGGTGGGATTCGAAGCAGAATGCGCTGAGTTGGCTGGGAATGACAAAAAACGTCTGTTTGCTCCACTTAACGGAGCATTCTCTAATGATGAGATTTTGCAGTCCGAGAGGGCGATTAGGTTATTGGAAATTGGGGTGAAAACAGGTGAGAGAATCTATTATTTTATGAATATTATGGAAATGCGGGCGGATAGGACAATTTACCACGTGATATTTGCAGCAGATATTGAGGACAAGGAGATATTTTTGGCATAAATTGTTCTTAACTTCGCCATCTGCACATTATTCACAAAATAATCTGCACAAGAATTATCTCAAGACAACTCGAAAAAATTATTTATATATTTTGTTGCAAATAGTTTTTTATAGCAAAGGTCTAAGAAAATTGTTTGTGCAACAATTGTTTATGGAAATGTGAAGTCCTAAAAGAAGAAATTTCCTCAGAAATGTTTCTAGACCACGTCATTTCTAAGAAATTCGCACAATCATTGACACAGAAATTCGTGTCAACAAAACGAGATAGAAATTATTTTACGCATCATCTTGCAATATTTTTTTATTAAAAGTACCATTTTCATGGGAGGAATCGCGCACAAAAAGATTTCATAGGAGCTCCTGCATCCGCATTCGCCAGAAAACTCGAATGTATTTCTATCGGACTTCTGCTGCGGGAGCTTGTTGAAGCTCCTCATACAGTTTTCTTATAATAAAAAAAAACTAAAAATGCAATCAATTTTTTTCAATTGTTTATGATTAAATTTTTGGATTCAACAGGGGTGAATTTTGTTTCAGTTTTCAACATGTGTTTTCAGTGAAATTTTTCCGTTCTTTCGATTGAGTATGATCTCCATTAGCTCACTCCATCGAAATACTATATTTCGTCATTATGTCGAAAAAATTTTTTTTGCGAATATGAGTTTGCGAGGCGAGGGTTGCAATCATATGAGCTAGAAAAGTTTTTTTCGGTCTAATGACGAAAAATATTTTTGTCATAACGGCTATAGGCAGTGATTCACGTACACGTAGCGTACGTGAAGCGCTGCCTTACGACCGGAGTGACAAAAACGTCTTAAAATTACCAAAAAGAGTTGAAAATTCAGCACCATACCCTCTTCCCCGACTTTGATTGCAGATTTTTTAATTCTCTTACTCAAAGTGCCTGTTTTTAAATAGAATAATGCTGTCAATAAAAAAAGTGACTGTTTTTACAAAAAATATTAAAAGTATTTTTTTCTACGTTTTGTTTTTGATATTTTCGTCATTCCGGCCGTACGGCAACAATTTACGAACGCGTAGCCGTTACGGCCGAAATGCCAACAAATATCATTCGACATTTCTAACCCGTATGATTGCAACCGTCGCCTTCGGCTCGGGCTGCAAACTCATATTCGCCAGAAAGGTTTTTTTTCGTTCTTCGTTTTTTAATTTTTCATTTCAAAATTTGAAGAGAATCAACAAATTCATCGGGTCATTTTTCGGAAAACGACTTTATAAGTTTCGTCAATTTCTTTCACCCAAAGATATTTTGAAAATGGTACTTTCGAGTAACTTTCGCCTGGATCTCTGTCGTGTATTGATAAACTAGGACAAGCGTATTTTTCTCGATTTTTCTTTCCAAATCGCTTCCTCAAATTGTTGGTAAACGATTCAATAACAAACGCATTTTCGAGAAAAAAAATGCACTTATCCTAGTTTACCAATTCACCAGATATCTTTTTATCATTCGATAAGTGGAGTGCATGAAAGCTCAATCGCTTACATCGAGAAAATTTTTTTCCCTAAAAAGGGGAGAACATTCAATTCTACCCCGACAGAACTCATCTGATCTGCGTGGACTGGAATCGAAAGCTAGAAGACTACCTAACGAAGAGCGATCGCGCCTGGCAATTTTCCCACGTCAAATTCGAGAAGTTGATAATCGGCGATGGAACGTCCCTAAAAGCAATCCCGAGTAACTGTGTGGATGCAGTTGTCACCGTGAGGTCATTGTGTGCGTGTTCGTCAGTGCGAGAGACATTGCGGGAGATTCGAAGGGTCCTGGCCCCGGTAAGACAATCTTTCCCATTACCAGCTCCCGAGGACTCCCTTTCCTTCTCCGCAGTCGATAAATTGCTGGCAACCGGAAGAATATCCTGAGCTTTATTCTACCGCTGTTAAAGTAGTATAAACGTAACTTAAATTTTGACGATGGAAATTTGAAATAAATTCCAAACGGAAGTTGATATGAATAAAAACATTCTGGTTGAGTCCGCGCTCTAATTGGCAGTCTCGTATTATTGAAAATACTTAATTCAAAAGTGGCAAAATAACTCAGGAAAAATTCAGGACAAAATGCTAAAAAAAATAGGAAATTTTCAATTATCACCTATAACATTTGATGAATTGGATGGAATGAGGAAAATCATACGCAATTATACGCTATATATATGTTTGAAGAACGAATACTGCCCTTTAAGATGGTATATCAATATTTCGATTGGTTTGACACAAAAGAATAGAAAAAAACCAGCCAAAATTGATTTTGAAGTAAAAGCACGAAAAACCAATTTTTGCGTAAAAGTGCTATAACTGAATGAAAAATGCTCAGAAAGGAATGATTCATGCGTCAATTTGGAGCTTATTTAAAGTTTATCCAACAGGAAGAAAGACATTAGTGTGAAAACCAGAAAAAGGACCAGCATCAAGGTCACGGATTGTTCTATAGGGGTTAGAGACATTTGTCATGTTTAGAGACATTTGCACGCCATTTCGAGACTCGCTCTTAGTTTATAACAGAGATGTCAGACAAGATATGAATGTTTTTTTGGGCTCAAATGAAAGAGCGGGTGGAGAAATGTCGTGCTGATGCCTCTAAAGATGGTTTTGAACCAGGGGAGACTCCTAGACCCCACTGGACAATGTTGTCACAACTCTGCTTTTCAATTGAAAACAGGCATCATCTTTATTAATAAAAACATTTCTAATAATTTTGCTTTTGATTGCAGGGAGGAAAATATTTCTTCTTAGAACACATACCCGACAAAGAAGAGACATTCGCCCGTTGGCTGCAGGGTTTCCTAACAAAAACAAAAATCTACCCATCATTATTCGGTGATTGTAGACTGGACTCAAATCCCCTCTACGACATAAAGACCGCTGGTTTCTCGAAAGTTTCCTGCGAATCGATTGTCCTCAAAGGCTACGTTACCCACCCATATCATTTATATTTAACTCGCAACCACATTATGGGCACTGCCACTAAATAATTGAGTAAAATACAGATATAAAATCAGGTATTTTTACAACCAATGAAGAATCATTGTACAATAGTTTTTATTAGCAAAAGATACTCATCGATATACATATTTACAATGGCACTCTGCACGTTGAAATTATCGTCAATTAATTAAAGAAATTAATTTGATTCAATTTCATTGGAAGGATTCAGTAATAAAAAAATCACTCGTGCCGAATACCTCATGAGTACAATAATTTCCAAATATTTGATGAAACGATTAAACTCATAGTAAAATAATAAAACGTCATCGTCAACGATAACAACTCCATAACATTTATCGTTTATCAAAACTGTCCAAAACGTAGTTTATTCACAATACTAAAATCAATTTTTTCAAAAACTAAATTTTATCATTTATAAGTTAATAGAAAAGAATATTTTTTACAGTAAACGAAAAGGTACAAAATTGAATGAAAATACAACAGGTAATTAACAACGCAATAACATTTCCCATTACTAATCATCCGAGTCGGAATCATCTCGTGTTCGAAGTGTAATCACTGATTTTTTCCTCAAATTATTATTAATATTCTTACTTGACCGACTCCTCTCATAATTCTTGTTCATTGGAATCGTCAGTCCATCCCCGGAGTCCTCAAAGGGATTGTGGAATAATTTTGTACATTTTATACTGTCAATATCACTTGACTCATCATCAATTAAATTATCGTGACTATCGGTGGGGTTTTCAAGGCAGAAATCAACTGAACTCTCGTCTTCCGAAGTCAGCGCTCGTTTCCTCGAGTTTCTCGTGCCCTTTCTCACCGAAAAAATTAATTTTCTCGAATGATTTATTGATTTAACCGGTGACACCACTGAACTCGATTTTCTGTCGTCCTTTTTGAGAGATCTCTCGAGGTCATCGGGTATTTTTGCGATTGATACGCTGAGGTCCATTAATTTAACCCCTGGCAATTTTTCCTTCGGTGATGGCAATCGTTTATCTGAGCATTTAATTACTGCCTGAGGTTTCTTCGTTGGTAACTTGACCGGTGATGCCAATCTATCCACTGAAGATACCCTGAGTAATTTAACAACTGGAGTTAAAGTTCTAGTCTGTTTAATTGGAGACTGGGAACTCCTCACTGACGAGTTTCTGTCATCACTGGGACTGCGTCCCTGGACATCATCCTCCTCAAATTCTGCTTTACGCTTGATCCCACAGGACCTCGTGCGCCTCCCCAACAGCAACACCATCGATCCGCTCGACGAGCCACTGGAATCAGACTCTACTCCTTTCAATGACTTATTTTTGTCAACACTCCTACCAACATCACTACTAACACGCTTATTAATAACTCCAGTCTCAGTTTTAAACCTCTTAGGTGGGCTCTCCTGAACTTCCTCTGACTGCTTGGACGACGCATCATCGTAGCTCAAAACTCTGATAAAACTCGGTCTCGTGGTATTTTTGATAGACTTCCCAGGGCTCTCAACTGCCCCCGCAGATTTCCCCGAACCACTCCTCATATTTTTCGTAGTTCTCGCACTCATCTTCTTATCTTTCACCCTCGAGCTCTCGTAAATCTCCTCCTCGTCACTCGGCAGGATACTCCCAGAGAAAATTGGCACAGTTTCACTCGTCAAGTCGTCAATAATCCTCTTCTGGTCCTCAGAGAGTTCATCCTCCGCAGTCCTCCTCCTCATCGATCTCCTCTGGGCCCTGTGGTAACTCATCTCCATCTTCGTGATGAAATCATTGTCGTCGTCCGAGAAGAACTTGATTACTGGCTCCAAGCATCGTCTCCTGATCCCATTCATCGTCCTCCGGGGTTTCATGTCTCGAGAGGATTCACTGTAGGAGTCACTGTCGATCGTAACCGTTGCTCTTATCACGGTCCTCCCCTCCTCCTCACTCTCCTCTCTGTCCTCACCCTCGTCACCCTCGTCACTTTCTTGTCCATCTCCTGGAGCTGGAGACTCCCTCATGGAGGCATTAATCCCATCTAGTAATTCACTCTTGTCATTCGAGGGTTTCACCTTCACCTTCTTAGAATTGACTTTCCTGCTCTTGCGTTTCTTCTGCTCATTCTTCGCTTTTCTCAGGGCTGAACGTTGCCTCATCCTCCTGATGGCTCGATTATCCAGTTTTTTCTCGAATTTTTCCTCCTCTCGAGTCAAATCTCTATTATTTATGACTCCTGATGGTTTATCAGAGTCACTCAACGGTCTTCTCGATCGAGTTGGATAAAGAGAGGAACTTTTACTCTTCGGTGATGTCTTTTCAGCCTCTGAAGATGCTTGTAGAGTGCCAGATTGACTAGATAATTTTTTAGGTCGTCCCCGACGTCTGGGAACCGTATTCGCCTCTTCTCTTTCATCCTGAGCTTTCTCAGGATCAACAACTGATTTCTTTGAACGTCTAAGAAGTACAGAAGGGATTTTCTTCTCCATTCTTTCGTCCCCTGGTTTCGATTCATCAGTCTCTGCAGCTCCCTGAGCTTTCTGAGAATTAATACCTGATTTCTTTGAACGTCCAAGAAGTTCAGCACGAATTTTCTTCTCTCCTCTTTCGTCCCCTGGTGTCGATGCATCAGTCTCTGTAGCCCCCTGAGTATTCTCAGAATCAATATCTAATTTCTTCGAACGTCTAAGAAGTACAGAAGGGATTTTCTTCTCTACTCTTTCGTCTCCTGGTCTCGATTCATCAGTCTCTGTAGCCCCCTGAGTTTTCTCAGAATCAATACCTGATTTCTTTGGACGTCTAAGAAGTGCAGAACGAATTTTTTTCTCCCCTCTTTCATCCCCTGGTCTCGATTCATCAGTCTCTGTAGCTCCCTGAGCTTTCTGAGAATTAATAACTGATTTCTTTGAACGTCTAAGAAGAACAGGAGAATTTTTCTTCTCTCCTCTTTCATCCCCTGGTGTCGATTCATCAGTCTCTGTAGCCCCCTGAGCTTTCTCAGAATTAATAACTGATTTCTTTGAACGTCTAAGAAGTACAGAAGGGATTTTCTTCTCTCCTCTTTCGTCCCTTTGTGTCGATTCATCAGTCTCTGTAGCCCCCTGAGCTTTCTCAGACTCAATATCTAATTTCTTCGAACGTCTAAGAAGTACAGAAGGGATTTTCTTCTCTTCTCTTTCGTCCCCTTGTGTCGATTCATCAGTCTCTGCAGTCCCCTGAGCTTTCTGAGAATTAATAACTGATTTCTTCGAACGTCTAAGTAGTACAGAAGGGATTTTCTTTTCTTCTCTTTCGTCCCCTTGTGTCAATTCATCAGTCTCTACAGCCCCCTGAGCTTTCTGAGAATTAATAACTGATTTCTTTGAACGTCTAAGTACAGAAGGGATTTTCTTCTGTGCTCTTTCGTCCCCTGGTGTCGATTCATCAGTCTCTGCAGCTCCCAGGGGTATCTCGGACTCACTAGCTGATCTTTTCGAACGTGTAGGAGGGTTAGAAGGCTGTTCCCTGTTCTCTTCACACTCCATCATGATTATCGTACTCTGATCACTCTCCTGTGAGTCCAATTCAATTTTTCCAGTCTGAGGAACACTCCTCATATTCCTGGACAAAAACACCTCTGTTTCTGGAGAACCTCTTGACGTTGAACTAGACTCATTCACCCTTCCATTTTTCGAATTTCCCCCAAGTCTTCTATGCTTCTCTCCCCCTGATTTACCCCCAGTCCTCCCCAAAAGAGTTTCAGACAGTCTCTCCAAGGGAACAGTCAGGATTTTCTTAGTACAAAGAGACAGAAGATTCTCAGTTTCATCTGCCACAGAACTCTTAACAGAACTCCCTGAAGACTCGTCCTCATCAGTATCAGAATCAACCTCCCGATACTGAACCTTCCTCTTCTGTCTCCTCCTCAGGCTCTTCCTCTTCGCAACTCCACCGATAATCTTCCTCTTCGTCTTGGTATTGAACCTAGGACTGGGCACAAGCCCCAGATTCTTCAAGAACTTCTTCTCCCTGCGCTCAGACGGTGGATCAGAGGAATCCTTACTATTTCTCGAATGTTCATGATTCAAGAACTTTTTACTCTGTCTCCTAGCATTCATAGTCGTCCTCCTCTTGACACTAGGGACCGTCATTTTCACTTCAGGAGTTCCCTGCAACGCAGGATGAAGGTTACCAGTCTTGGGGACAATCTGATCCTCGCTGTCCATCGTAGAAGACACGATGATATCCATTGGAGAGTTCCTCCCAGTCCACAACTTCCTCCTATTCCCCTTTTTCATCAGGGGTGGGAGCCTAGGGGTTCCCCTGCCACTCGATTCACCAGAGCCCACGTCAGACTCCTTCCTCAACCCATGAATAGTGGCTTTACTAGTGAATTTATCTATGTGTTCACCAAGATCCTCGAGGACGTCAGATATCTTCATACTCGGTGCCATCAGATTCATGACTTCAGAGTCAGATCCATCGCAGGAGGTCAATCTACTTCTGTTCAGTGACTTCTCCACTGTCTCCTCGAGTTTACTCAGGATCATGGAAGTCTCCAGGGACTTGTCCAGGGATACGTTATTGTTATCACAGATTTCCTCGGTCTCTTGATGTGCTGGAGTGTTTAGTCTCGATTGCTCCAGGGGATCTCTAGTTTCTCGTGTTTCCTCAGGGTCCAGAGGATCCCCAGGGTCTAGGGGTTCCTCAGGGCTCCTGGATCCCTCCATTATCACCAGCATCTCTGATCTATTCGTGATGTTCGTGGAGCGAATGTAGGGACCAGTGGCCACTGAAGTGCTGTTGGAGGCTCCTTCTGGCCTCTGCATGGAGATGGTGTTGGTTGTTATGGGGTATGTCTCGAGCTTGGGACAGTTCTCTTCACTCAGGGAGGAATCGGGGTTATTTGTGAGTATCAGCTCATGTAGGATTGAGGGGTCTTCTTTGGTTGGGTAAGGGGCCTTGCCAGTGTCCAGCCAGTACTGGATGAGCGATGGGGACTTTCGGATGGGGGCACGATTCTTGTTGAAGGATTTTTCGTTTTCACCCTCGTCGTCTTCTTCGTCGTCCTCCTCCTCCTCGGCATACTCCTCGTGGGGACCTCCCTCGTCTCTTGGGTCCTCTGAATCTCCCTCGTAATGCTCTTGCAGTCCTTCGTTGGGCTGCTCACGGGGCCTTCCCTCCAAGTACTCTTCTAGCTCTCCCTCGTCGTCCTCCTCTTCTGATGGGGAGTCGAGAGTTATTTCAATGTCATCGGTTAACTTAAAATAAAGGAAAAGGGGATTAAAATAAAATATTCACTATCCGAGGGAAAAGGATTGGTCTTTCTGTTTAAATTGCGGTGGATCAATGGGAGAAAAACGTGGAATAATGGTGTGAAAATTATCGTATAAGGGATGTTCTATGTCAACTATCTTTTTTTAAACTATTTTTATTTCGATTTTGTTAGGGGAGAGTGTGCAATATAAAACCGCCGAAAAACGACTATTGGATACAATTCAAGCAAAAGAAAAATTTTTTCTTATCAACATTTTTTGGTATTGGGAGTACTGATGAGAATAATAATTTTCTATTCGTCTTTTAATTCAATTGGTTAGATTAGGCCGATTAAACTTCTTTTTTCTTTCGATTGAAATTTAGCATCGCATTTTCCTTTTTCCCACTCTGGGTCTCCACCTGGGCCTTGCTCTAGACTTTGGATTTTGCTGTGTCAATTTCTTTTTAATTAATTCATTGACAAAATTTTCTCCTGTCAAAAATTCTCAATAATTTTCCATTCTACTGAATTTTTTATCTCTTGACAGACCTCAAATTGTCCTTAATCGTCTATCTATTGGTCTGGTTACCCTACGCAATTTTTTTCACTGAGCTGAAGCAATTCAAACGGAAAGGCCTGAACTTTTCACTCCGACAGTAGCCTGGGAGAAGAGTGTATGTACCTTTGTGGAGTACTTTTCGAACAAATTGTCCCATACTCTTTTACGATTCTCGGTTATGTGCTCAGGTAACTGGAAGCAATCGAGTTTCTCCTTGCCCTGTGTTATTCTGCAAAGGGATTTATTTTACATTATTGTTTTGTATTGTTGGGGAGTTGACGAGCTGGAAAGTTAACCTCAACCGTTAGAGTTTTGGTGGAGTACAGACCTTTCAAGACCCCGTAAGTATGATTGCGAGAGCAGACCATTGGATCCAGCGTCAGAATCATCCATTCCTAGGGGCTTGCTCAGTCAATTATCCGGGTAACACGGTTTTACGATACAATGGAGCACTTTTCAGTTATCATTTTCGGAGTGCGTGCGACATAATAAACAAGGCGGGAAGTAAACAGGGAGGCAAGTAACGCCGCCGAATTTGGAGCGGAGCGCAACAGTGGAAATAAAGGGTGACGACATCTATCGGTCGAGGGTAAAGGGAATACTCGGGGGGTAATGCTGGGAGGAAGATTTGGAGGGCTCGAGCAGGGTTTGGCGTGTAAATTACGTTGATAAATTACACCGTTTTTTACCGACGTAATTTACGTAAATTACCTCGACGGATTTTTTACATTTTTTACATTCCTTCGAAAAGCTTGCAATTTTCGATTACCAAATTTTTTTATTTTATTCCGAATGACGAAGACGCAGTATTGGACACAAAAAATAGTATATTATGGCCCGAGGATAGATAAACAGCGAATTTTAATTTCACTTTGTTCGGTTAGAACGCGGTTCTCGGTACTTGAGGTATAAAATATCATTTTATGTCACTAGGATCGTAAAACTGCGATTCTAACATCGATTTCCTCGGTTAAATCGCGGTTTTTGGGCCCAGAGACATAAAATATTGTATGCCACATGGCGATAAAACTATTTCCTGACTCGAGTGATTAAAATCCTCAATTACGAGGTGAGACCCTCGTGGTTTATCACCCTTGCGAGGTATAATCTTCGCGAGGCTTCACGGTTTACGATAAAAGGTAATGTCGGCTGGTTGTTTACATTTTTTACATTTATTACGTAAATTACGCGTTTTTTACAATGACATGTAAAAAACTGCGGTCATCGACAGATGTGCGCAACGCTGGGCTCGAGTTTGAATGGGAACTTTTATTTACAGTTTTTTTCTTGCACCAGCTACGTTTCTCAGCACGCGAAAAAAAATTTTCTTCTATCAACACCACCAGTGCAAGCTGAGCAATTAAAAATAACAGGATGACGAAAACCTGGACAGGTAAGACTCATTAAATATTCGTAAATAAGTCATTAAAAATTCGTACAGGTTATAAGTGACATACATCTAATGTCAAACGAATTTATTCGAACATGCGGTGTTAATTTGACACCATAATACCATAAATACCGATTTCTCCTGCGGATGACATAGAGATCGTTTTTGTCGATAGGTCCTAGAGTTTGCGCATGCGTACATAGGCTAGATAATGCGGGAAAAGTGACAGTCTCCCGCGTAAATCAGTGAACTGTGTAGTAGATGTAAACAGCTACATCAAACGAGAAAATTGATTATTTTCCAAGTGAAAAATTCATGTTTATGAATAATGAACATTGTTGATTCCCTGGTACGACGCAACGCTGGATTCGGTGAGTGTTGAGTCTCCACATATGTCTTATAATTGGATAAATGTTACTGGTCACCTCCACATGACGTTTTTGGAGGTTATCTCCGCTTCCATTTGGTTGTTTGCTCTTTCACGCGACACTGAGTTAATCATTTTAAATTAATAGTGAGAAATGAGACGAAAAATGATGTGACAATATTTTTCAGAATCGATACGAGACTATGACCTCGCATTATACCGACTAAAGTGCTACCAGGACGATATTTACCGAGGAATAACTCCAAACACAGACGCCCCAGACTTCAATCCAGAACCGCCAGTTTTCGCCTGTCGCTTTTGTCCGAATCCAGGATATGAACAAATTCTTGCTCTTGCTAATGAGGATGGGAAAATTGCACTGCAGGATATATTGGTCAAGGGAGAGGCCAATCAAGCTCTTGATGGTACACAAGTAAGTTGAATAACGAATAAGGAAGGTTTTACCAAAGGAAATTCATCGATTCAGTAGCGAAGCGTTAAAGCGATTCATTTTTCACTAGGGAGAACTGTTCAACGCTGATATTTACCATATTTTATCATTTTATATTGTGGATGCTGGGATATTTACATTTCACTCCGAAAATTTTTGATGGATGTGCGTAGAATTTTTGATAATGATGACTTTATTCATAGAATTACTTGCTGAGGACAATGAAAAGACGTTTTTGTTGTTTCTGAGATTGTAAACAAAAAAATCTTGATAATGACGAATACACTGAGCAATATGCGACAAATCTTGACATTCTCCATAACCATACACTGAGAGAAAAACAAACACATTTTCAAAAAAGTTTTGTTTAGGCCAACAAAATGGCTAGTTGAAAATTTCCAAAAAAGAATTTGTATGGTTTGAATTAAAAAGTCTCAAACATGAATAATTGTTCTGCTTTCGATAGCAACGAAATATTTGGCGCAACAAAGATTTTTCGGAAGCAAAATGCGTATGGGAGTATCGAAAAAAATTTCATTCCGGCGCACTCTGCATGTTTGGCACAAAAAAATCCATTTATGATAATTTTCAAAAAACTATTTTCTTAGCACAGGTGAGACTTCTTTGAGAACTGTCGTTTTTCTCTCAGTGTATGAATAATCTTGTGTCTGTCCGGATCCCACCCCAACATAAATTACCTGTCTCTCCTTCATCATCCCCACTCACCATCTAACCCATAAAAATCTTTCAGGCCCACTGCAACGCGATCTTCGACATAGCCTGGATGCCGAACGAGCTGAAGCTCGTAACAGCCTCAGGAGACCAAACAGCGCGCCTCTGGGACGTCTCCACCCAGCAAATAACCCAAGTAGACTGCTTCAGCGCTCACAGCCGCAGCGTGAAAACCGTAGTATTCCGCCCCCAGGACAAAGCAGTGTTCGCGACAGGAGCCCGTGACGGAGCGATAATGCTCTGGGACATCCGAGCCTCCCACAACGGCCAGCGTCGTCCCGACAACTGCATCATGAACGGTCACGTCAGTGGCACCAAGTCCCGACACCGAGGAACCGAGGAATCCTCACGAACCCAGAGCATAACAGGTCTCACCTTCCAGGACGACATGACACTGATCTCAGGTGCAGCTGGCGATGGCTTGATCAAAGTCTGGGATCTACGAAAAAACTACTCAGTCCACAAGAAGGAGCCTCAGCCCAAGCACGTGATGCAGTACACTGGAGGCAGTACAAGGAATGGCTTCACCTCCCTCCTGGTTGATCCAGCAGGAATAACACTTTATGCTTCCTGTATGGACAACAACATTTACGCCTACAACATATCCTCGTACAATCCGAAACCCATTGGGGAGTTCTATGGCCACGAGAACTCGACATTCTACGTGAAAACCTGCCTGAGTCCAGATGGAAAATACTTGGCTAGTGGATCCAGTGACGAGCAGGCCTACATCTGGAAGACGAGCAGGCCTGGTGGTCCCCTGGTGAAGCTCTCTGGACACACTAAGGAAGTGACGTGTGTTGCTTGGTGCAACATGGGGGAATTGAAGATTGTCACGTGCTCTGACGACAGTTGCCACAGGATCTGGAGGGTTGGGCTGGAGCACAAGAGTGATAATGATGACATTGAGATTATTGGGAGGGCAGAGAAGGTGGATGTTAACTCCACGAGGCAGTCTGTCCTGGAGACGACACCGACGGTGTCCAAGAGGTGGATAAGGCAGGCGCACACACCCACTGATGGAACCCCAGGCTCTGACACTGGTCAGAGGATTCAAAATCTGAGTTCTGGGAAGAGATCGAGGGCTCAGATGCTGGCTGGGGGCTCCTGGACGGATGGAAAGTTCAAGACTATTCTTTCGCCCATTGAGGAGAACCTGGAGCCACTTGCCAAGAGGGCTAATGTTGAGAATAGGAGTGCCAGGAGGCTTTTTAGTCCCTCGAGTTCGAAGGATGCTGAGGCTGGACCTTCCTCTGATAAAACTCCTTTCTCTCCTACTTTGAATCTTCCTAATTTTGTTATTGATGGAACTGCACCTCATCTCGTTCAGATGTCTCCGCAGAAGTGCAAGGAGAATGTGGATTGGCTGACGAAGATCAGGAAGGAGCGGTTCGAGCAGAGGAGCAAGCCGGAGGAGAGGGTTCAGAGCCCAGGGGCACAGGTGACACCAGCCAGGAGGGGAACGAGGTCCAAGTCTGCTGAGCCCAGGAGGGTCAAGGGCCCCTCGGTTTCGTTGTTGAATTTCTTCAGGGTGGGGAGGGAGTGCGAGAAGGACCTCTGTGGGGAGGGGAATAATGTTCGGTCGCAAAGACGAGATTCTGTAGATTAGGGGAGGGGAGTTCGGTGTGTTGAATGGGTGTCATACTTTTAATTAGTTTAGGGTGAGATTCAGGGAGAATGAGACACTAGCTGAATTCTCGTCGAGAGGGTATTTTGGCAGGGAATAAGAGAAACTGGACGAGTCATTAAGGAAGTGGGGAAAGCAGATAAGATAATTCCAATTAGACTTTAATGTTTACACTAGAGATTGAAGGAAGATGGCAAAATTTCTATGATCAACTCCCTTTCCTTACGAAATTCTGTAGATTAGGAGAGGGAAGTTTGATGTGTGGAATGGGTGTCATACTTTTAATTAGTTTAGGGTGAGATTCAGGGAGAATGAAACACTAGCTGAATACTCGTCGAGAGGGTATTTTGGCAGGGAATAAGAGAAATGAATACTCTTGATGACATCATAGAAACTTGACGAGTCATTAAGGAAGTGGGGAAAGTAGATTAGATAATTCCAATTAGACTTTAGTTTTCATTCTAAAAGATGATGGGGGATGGCAACATTTGTATGATCGACTTTTCCGTGGCTTTGGTCCAACTGAAATGAAAGTACTTAGGATTTTTTCCCGATTTGTGAAAAAATCTGATATATTCTGGTGAATGTGAAATTATTGTGGTAATGATTGGTTTTAGGAGAACATGTCAAAGGACCCTTTTTTAAAATGTTGTCAACTTCAGAATAGGTCTTTTGAAATTTTCCCATTAAACGACTCCTTCCCAAGATAATCACATAATTGTGGACCAGTTTTAAAAAAATAGACGTTCAAATAGTGGAATTCTCTGATCATCGTTTCTGTATGAGAGACTAAGAAATGTGCAAATGTTTTCTTGGGATTTTTTTTATACTCTAGTGCCACTGCCTTTTGGGTAGCCTCCAGTACAATTTATCGTGAATGTGAAACGAGTGGAATATTAGTCGAGAGAATTATGGAGTAAAACTTTACGAATGAATTGAAAGTAGTTCGACAAATATTGAAATGTCACGAAAGTTAACGAAAGTTAATTTATGAGAAAATGTCAAGAGACTTTTTTGTCGGAAAGTCCCATGTGAGAAAGAGATAATATAAAGTATAATAAAAATTCGGTTCATTTCTGTACAATTTTATTGAATAATGTTGTTCGAATTGAAATGTTCAATAGAATATCAATCGATCCTGATTTTTTCATACAACTTATTCTATTGGGACAGTTTCTATAAGAAATCGTCGAGGCAAACTTTCTTTATTTTTTTACTTTTCTTTGAAAAACAGAAAGTATCATGAAAGAATTGAAAAAAACAATATTAATTTGAAATAGAAATCCAATAAGATTTGTTACCCGAAAAAAGTCTGATGGAATTTTCTCCTAAAATAATGAAATGAATACTCTTGATGACATCACAGATTCGTTCATCACTTCGAGGGCGTTTGTACAGGTCTCAGAAATATTTGCTTGCAGTTGCAAATGACAAAATTGAGGATATAGTGAGGCAATACTCCACGACATCATTGATATCAATTTATCGTATGTTAGAAGTGAGCGTTTATAATTGTTATTCGGGTATTGTTAGTAACCATCCAGTGTCTTAGTGTTAGCATTACGTATTCTTTGTGAGTCTCCATGGAATCGGCCTTTTTACGAAAACGCTTTCAATGCCTGTTATCTAAGCAAAGTATTTTTTACTCAGATGTAAATTATTTTTTGTAATTAAATTTTTATATCCTTTGAAATTTGTGGTTAATTTTTCCTTCCGGATGGAAGCTTTGTTATCATTGGTTTTTACGATCTTCTAATTTTACCTGGAAATGATGTAGAATGTCATGAAATTTGAAGATATGATGTTCTGAGAAAATGTGCAGATTTTTATGATTTTATACTAGCGCCACTCCTGATGATGTTGGTGCCGTTTAATTATGCCTTTTTTCCTGTCATTCGATTTTCCTTCTTTCAATTAATTGTTTATAATCATTCTCATAGCAAAAAGCAATACGATTGATGAGAATCATATGTCCCAATTTATCAGCTGTTAAATTTTCATATTACAATAAATTTCTTGCTCATGTTCTAATTCCTACACTGAAAGAAGAATTTCATAATACGTAGACCATATTTACCTGAGAGATGCAAATTATTTTCAATGGTTTAAATCTCAGAATGTTTGCGGTTCACGGAGCTCGAATGAATTCTCATTTATCATTATCGTTGTGCGTTATATCATGAATATATTACATATCGAGATATTGGAACTGCATAACAAAAAAATTATGAAAACAATAAATACTTGAAGATTGACAATTCTTCTACGCAATTTGAGTGAGTTCATTTGCGACAAAATCATACTTGAGTACAAGAATATTTTCAAGCATGAGATCTTTCTCGGGCCGCGTGTGTCGAGATCTCTGCGAGAATTAAACAATTAAAGAAAAATTACTTATCTCAAGAAAATATGTTTCAAACATTAAATTTTTTTTGTCTCAGTGTATGTTCACTGAATAAGACTTTAATCATAATTACAATTCAATTCCTTCCTTCACTTTAGACTGTGAATTTCTGAAATTCAATGTTTGTTGAGAATCTGATAAAAGTGCGCGCTCACACTGTTATCAATTTTTAATTAGTTCATAGTTAATTCATTTAATGTGTTGTTCATCTCACAACAATTCTCTCTGCAAGTTTTCTCCAGGGTCGTCTCCTCTTACCTGACAACTGTGAAAAAATTTCCTCCGCATTTTTGAATAATTCAAATTCAATTCTCGATCGCATTGAAACGCCAATCAAACAGAGAGAGAGTAACTTTCCAACACTTCAAAGAGATGCAGAACAGGAGATGAATTCAATGATTGTAGACAGTTTATTTCATACCTAGAGAGAGCTCAGAAGAGCTTTTTTGTAGTTTGAAAGAACCCTGCTTTTCATCGCAACGTGTCGAACGCACAAGTGATGGAAAGAATTTTTTAGCGAATGCGCTAGGTTTTCCTTTGGATTTATTCACCTGTACTTAACCGAATCAATTTCAGATTGCAATTAAATTTCAATGAGGCAAAAAGAGTTAATCCCCCATACTTTACGACAAATGATCTCTAAAATATGAGAAACAACCCCTAATAATCCGCGAATTCCTTGCGAATCCTTCCAAGGACAGCACAAGGTTCTTCCCTCCATGATTCGAGTACTCCTTGATAACCATATCTAACCACGAGAAGCCTCCCACCTGGAGTGCATCCGGTTGTCATCATTCGGTTAATCATCTTTAATGCATCCAGATAACTGGGGATAAAAAATCCCACCAATTAACACGAGAACAACATTACAATGCACGTAAATAGTTATGGGCATAAAAAGTTACGAGAATAAAAATTATGTCGAAGAATCTCAAATAACATTTTAGCACGTCGGTTTCGCTCTTCGTTTATGCAAATTAAAAGGGCTGGGGGATCGGTGATATCGCGGCTTGCGAGTGGAAAGGGAGAGGCCTCATGACGAGGGAATTGGTCACCGGGAGATATTGGAAGGAGAACACCCGCCAGCCTTGTTAAAAATGCAGAACTGGCGGATTCGTAGTGGAATCTGAATTTGATTGCCGTTTAGATTACTTTGATGATGATTGGAATTTTTCCATTGAATTGCAGGAAGCAAGTTTTTTTATGATTCAGGGAAGGGGTGAAAACAGCAGATGAGGGCCATAATATCATAAAGTTTATTTCTTTAGTATTTTTGGCACAAATAAATTTTGAGGAAAATGGCGCTTTTTTCTTTTGCAGTTCCAAAAATTCTCGTGAAAACAGTTTTTCGAGTTTTCCTTCTAATAATTTTAAGGACATCCTTATCTTTTACAGTTTGGTACACACCACAAATTGAAATTCCTATTTTAAGAAAAAGCTATTCTATGTATTACATCGTCATCGGAGAGTCAAAGGGGCGTAACATCTAGCTGACACACAACTTATGCCCCTTTGGCTATAAGACGACGATGTAATACAATTTGAGAAAATATACCATGCGAAAATATATCACTAATCAGCAATGATAGTTATACTGGATTCTAACAGAAAAAAAAATTCTGGTCGTTAGGAATCTGCTGGATTATAAAACTTAACGAATGAAAAATCCTAAAATCGGGTTATGTTGTCATTAATTTCCAGTGACATAATGCAAATTTTGAGAATTTTATCCCCAAATCTCAGTGATTAAATCTCTAAGGTTCAGGGTAATTCCAGTTGGTGTAAAAAATCGTTAAAAATTCAGAATGTAGATCTCTAAAAGTTAGGGATCAATTTCTAAAAATATCTTCAAAAAAGAGAACATTTTTTCTCTGTGGAACAATTCATTTATTCACGTGTTTATGAAAGAAAGTTTACGAAGTTTGCGAAACTGCCTGCAAAAAAAATTATGTATTTTTCAAATTTATTTCAAAATTACAAATTCCTCTTGTACTTATATTTTCTCAATAATTGAAAACACAAGTTACAGTTCAACAGAATATCGTTTTTCTTTAATTCTCACTCTTGAAATCACCGAAATCACTGAAATCGAGTGATTTCAGCTCTCCGAAATCACGTGAACTCGTCTGAAATCAATGAAATCACCGAAATCAGTGGCGCACTGGCGTAGTCGAGGATTTTGCGTCGTTTCATTGGAAACCATTTGATTCTGTTTTTTTAATTCTTCCCATTAAGGTATGCCTTTGGGCTTTTACGGATCCTGTGCGTCTTCCCATTGCACTTTCCGAGCTTCAACCATCGTTTTTTCTGAAGTGTTCCCTCGTCGTCACCACTCCCACTTACTGCCCACGAACGCAGTTCTCGAGTCCCTCCGAGGCAACATTTGATCCTTCAGAGTTCTAATTTCGTTTTATGCGAATTCTTACACAAAATAATCTGAAAGTGTCTGAAAAAACCGGAAAAATGTCATTCCGAGGGACTTCAAACCTGCTTTCAAACAGAATGTCACGATTCCCTTTTTATGCCGATTTTATTCCCCAATTTCGAATGCAAGAAATACCCAAAGGGGGCAATAATCCCGCTGTGTTCTGGAATGTCATTAAGAAGATGAATTTTATTGGAAATTTTCATTCTCCTCTTCCACCTCCGCCGTCCCATCCCATCGGCATATTATGAAACAAGTTTTTTCAACCCTCAAGAATAAAATGATCGCGATTGGATCGAAAAAACGAGTTTGGTTAACTGAATTAATATAGCTCTGTCTCGTTAGCCTGTCGGCTACTCGTCTTACGCACTTCGTTGCGCCACTGGAGGAAAAAAGAACGTGAAATTTCGATTCAGGAAGACAGTGGAGATTAACATACTTAAAATTGAAAGAACAGGCGAAAAACAGAGGGGAAAAAACATTGAAAAACATTAAAAAAGGACGAAAATAAAACGAGATTTATTTTCACATGAACGTAATTTTTCGACTTTATATTCTTTACGGACACTCGTACTTTGAAGTTGTATGGACGCAGCTGGGTTTTAAATATTTAAATCTAAAATGAATTTTTCATGATGCGCAGTGTACAGTGTGTGAACTGCAAAATTTGATACCTTCATGTGTTTGCAACGAGGTTTTTGGGAAATTTCAAGTAACTTTGAAAGTCTCGGGGCGGGATTACTGATTATTTTTCCTCTTACAATTTTGATTGCCTTAAGGGGTCTCTTCAGTAATTTTCGTCACAAAACGACAATGTGCCAGCGAACTAAATATGCCATATAATAATCAAGAATGGTAAAAGGAAAATTGTAAAAAAAACTCTGAGTAGTTTTCTGTCGTTCGTTTTTAATTAATTATTCACTAACAATAACTAATCCGTTCGATCACACAGCAAAAACGAATGTATAAAAATCACAGACCTTTTGTAGACATTTTTCAGACACTAAAAAACGCGAGGGGCTGGTCACTTAGGAAATCACTAGACCACTTGACTGGAAATCAAGGAAGAAATAACCAGAAATCAATGGAAATCAAGTGATTTCCATTTTCGACTGTGATTTACAAAGAAAATCACAGGAAAAAGAAATCATTGGAAATCATAAAGAAATCAGATGATTTTCGAAATCATTAAAAATCATCGATAAGTGCAAAATCGAAATTGATTTTGCATTTTTAAGTCTACAATTTTTGTCATAGTATCGGTGCGTTCGGAATGATCCAATCCCGAAATGTGACACTATGAAATTTTTGACATCATTGGGTATTGCAACGTCATGTAGAAAACTACCATTATCGATAGATGCTCACTCTAGTCCCGAAATCATGATTTCTCCAGTGATTTCTTGAAAGCAAGGAATTATTAGAATCTACGAGAAGTCATGGAAATCAAAAGAAATCATGATTTCTAATGCTGATTGAGAAATCACAAAAATCACAGAAATCATCAGGAAATCATCTGATTCTGGAAATCACTAAGTCATTCGATTAAGGAGTGACGAATCCCTCGAAAAAACGTCTGAATAAAATGAAAATTTGTCCGAATTTTAAACACGAATTGAGATATTTGGGGACATATTCGTTTGAAATTCAGACATTCGTTTTTTGCTGTGCAGTGTGGGTTTGCTGGAAACACATACAGATATATTTCTCGAAATGAATAGAAATGACTCTACAAACCTTGAAATACCAACATTTGATGAAAAATATCAATCAATAAAAAAAAATATCAGAAAGAAAGAATATCAATCAATTTTCGGGGTGATTACAATAACTTCCCTCATTAGGAAGTCTGAAATACTCACCA